GGATTATAAAGACTTATTCTTTCTTTTTACGCGTTGATTTGCATCGCGCCGCGTAAACATAAAACCATGTCTGCATTTGTGATCGGAGAAATGACAAACAACAAGTGCTACTCTAATGATTCAAACGAGAGTTTTTTGGGCAGTGTTATGACCCCTTTAAGACAATTGACCTATCGGTAAGCCCCTCCCCTTCGAACGCAGATGAGCCAAAGGCAGTCGAGTATCAGTTGCACAGGGAGCAGAACTCGAACATCTTTTGGTTTCAGCGCCATAGAGAAACACTGGAAGATCCAAAGCTTGCATCGTTTTGATGGTGTTTATGCTACAAAAATGGGAAAAAAAACGATGTGCCTGGAATACTTGTAAGCCTGATTCCAGGTATCCTGAGAGGATGGGCGATGGAATTTATTTTATTACATTTCCTAAATCCAAACAAAACAGAACAAAAATGTCCCTAAGCATTCAACCCCAATCCCAATAAAGATGAAAACGTTCATTTTCTGGTTGTCATACTCTCATTAAGTTACAGTTTTCATCTGCTCAAGCAGTACGTTAATGTCATCTTTTGCTTCTGCAAGGTATCTCTGGCTAAAACTAGCTAATGTTAAAGTTAGTGAGTCCATGCTAACGTACAAACCAAAATGGCGAACTGTTCTCACGTCTTTGTACAGTTTAGGGCAAAAACACATAAACTAAGGTCTACATTTAAGTGCCTCGCCATATTAAATGGGTTAAATGTAAATTGATTTAATCTTACACTGCAGTACATGAACAGTGTTGATCCGGGATGTTGTCATTGCGATCATAATGACCGTAACAAATTTCTCCTGTTTGCATTGTGATCTGAATTTTTACATATTTATTTTGACATTTTATATACTGTATATGACATATTTATAAATATGCCCTCTATGGCATATTTAAGTCCCACATGAATGATGGTCATTCTGTGTTCAAAATTTAACAAAAACATCTTGGGACAAGGTTTTCACACTGACAGTTGTCACATTGTAAGACAGTAGCAACTCTGTTTGTTTGTCCAAGTGAGCAACAGTAACTTACTGATGGGTCAATTCTTCCCTACCACACAAATAAGTGACTTAAAAACAGCAATGTTTTATGGATTGCAGAATAGGGATTGAATAATTATGACATAGCTGTCTTATTATCCTATAACTCAAAAATAGTACATTATAAATGTAAATTATCTCTCTTAATATGCCAGTAAACTGTTACAGATGCAATTTTTATAAAATCCTGGATCTTCAGAAAAGCTTGTATTTTTAAAGTACAGTTTCTGGGGGGTGGAGTGAATAATTTTGATTGCAACTGTACCAGTAAGCAGACGAGATCTTCTGCTGAAAAATCTTCACCACTCATGCTACAGATTTTCCTAAACCAAAACTGACTGTGCGGCCACAGAGTTCATTGTTCACTGGAGACTCAGTTACTCTGAGATGTGAGGTGGATCAGTCACAGGATGGATGGGAGTTTCTCTGGAGTAAAAACTCAAACACTGAATCTACTGAAGCTGCAACTAAAACAATCAATTCAGTGAAAGTCTCTGATGGAGGAGAGTACAGGTGCAGAGCACAAAGAGGAGGATATTTCACAGATTACAGTGAACCAGTAACAGTGACAATATATGGCAAGTATTTTTTTCTTTTCTCTGAGAAAATGATATCTTAACACAAAAGCTCAGCACATTTTTATTAATTATTTTCATTGTGAACTGCTGTCATTGTACAGAAAGACCAAAACCCACAGTGACCATCAAACCTGATCGACATGCATTTGGAGATACAGTCACTCTCAGATGTGACATATATGGTGAGGGATTCACAAGTTGGCGGTACAACTGGTATAAAGACGGTTTAGTCAGTGTTTTCAGTGAACTACAGGAACACACATTCAGTCCTGTTACTGAGTCTGACGCAGGTAAATACTCCTGTTATGGAACAGAGAGAGGAGGATCACGCTACTCACACCGCAGTGATGCAGTTACACTGAGAGTATCAGGTGAGTTTGATCATCTCCTCATAGAAGTTACAAGTTTACACAAGTTTAAAAGAATATTCCAGGTCCAGTACAAGTTAACATCAACCAACAGCATTTCTGACATGTTGATTACCACAAAAAAAAAGCAAGGGCAAACTGGCGCAAATGAACCTAAACGTTTGGCACTGCATAAATTCAACACACATCCATCTTCTAAAGTGGCAAGAACGCTAAATTAGGACGGCCACAGGATTTTCATCCATGGTATGCAGAAGAAAAAACTTAGCTAAATAATGTCTGTTTACATTTGGCCGTTCTAGCGAAAATTCTAATAAGTAGGCCTATAGAAGTTAGACATAAGTTCTCAATTTTACTAAACATTACCTCACCAGTTTGTTTGAATCTATGGTGGTTTGTTAAAGGGGTCATCGGATGCAAAATGCACTTTACATGTTGTTTGAACATAAATGTGTGTTGGAAGTGTGTGTACACATCCACCCTATAATGATAAAAATCCACCTAGTGTTTTTTTTTTTAATCCCTATTTTAAAATCCCCTTTCTCAAATCAGGCTGTTCTGAGATTCCTGTCAGAATGACGAAGTTCTGCACAGGCCGCTCCCACGATAGTTGATTAACACGGCCGTATTACCTTAGACCCGCCCTGAGTGAGCTGTGAGCTGTCTGCCATTGTGTCGACTCCGGTTCAGGGGAAGAAAAGATATCTCCGATTAAGCGATTTAGGTGTTTTGCTTTTGGATGTAATAATAAACATAGCAGTCGTCATTTACTCCCAACATCTGAGCCGCTGAAGACGCAGAGGATTAACGTTACTTTCATTTTTGAAGGGAATGCGCCGATCCCCGATCTGCCTAAATGCGTCTATGTTCGCGCAAATCATTCATGATCCAGCTTCATCTACAGAAGAAGTGAGTATAAGGGTTCTTTATGAATCTTTGCAAATCACTTTTCCTAATATGTGCTAGTTAGCAAGTTTTGCGGCTGAAGTTTAGAGTCTGCTCGTCACCCCATGGAAGAGAGGGGCGGGGCGAGCAGAGCTCATTAGCATTTAAAGCAACATGGACTAGAACAGCTTGCTGAAAACAGAGCTGATTTTGACAGGGTAAAAAGGATGTTTTTTACACTACCATTGAGAAATTTTAACCAAAGTATGTTATAGACTTTTCATTAAGACCCTAAAGAATCATATCAACTTGTGGAAAATGGGCATCCAATGACCATTTTAACATTGGCTGACAGACTTGTATCATTTTTCAAAAGCAAAAAAGCAGTCTTTTTAAACAGCCCTTTGTACATTAAGCTCATGGCTATATATTCTGTACGAACACCTGATGTAAACACTAACCTACCATGGCCAACGCAGCACTCACTGTTTTTTTTTTTTTTGGTCATGGACTCAAGAGACTAGATGGACTGCATCATTAAATGACAGACTTTAACGAAGCTTTATTACTTTCTCTTTGAATCGCATAAAGTCCAGTCCATGCTGCTTTAGATCCTTTTCATGCAGGCCCACGGAGTAAGAAAAGAAAATTGCTAAATTTTGTGAAATTTGGATATAACTTTATACAGAAGAGGTCAGTAAGCATTTTTTATCACAAAATTATTTTGACATGCATATTGTTTACATCTTGTGGCTCTTGAAACAGTGAGTAACGTACACATAACGGCTCCTATTATTTTTATTGCAACAAGTGCCTCAACATAACCCAGATGTCTGCTTTTTTTATGCTGTTGACTAAGCTTAACTTGTATCGAACCTGGAATGTGTAACATGTTATTATAGCGCCCCCTACCTTTCTGAAGTAGAATTTTGTAAGGAGCAGCACCAGGTTCAGAAACTAAATGCCTTGTGATGTTGGATTAAGGCCCCCTCTCTGACTACACTGTACCGTTTTTTTCCCCTTTGCTAGGTTTGTTGTCTGAATAACCTACTTTTGTATCTGGGTCCTACTTCAGTAAAGATGTATCCCCAAATATAATAATACTCACAAACAAATAAAGAGAGAATTTAACAAATAAAGATGAGTAATTTAATGAAATAGTAATTTGAAATAATGAAAATTAAACAAAATACTCAGATGCTCAAATTAGAGGAATTACTGAGTTACAATATACCTGAAATATGTATCACCCAACAACTTTTACACTTATGGCAGTGCACACAGTTTAGCAAGTGAAACAGTAAATGTTTGGTTAGTTTCAACTATGACAGAATCCTTAAATGAGCAAATAACTTAAACTTAACTCTGCAGAAAATATACTCTAAGCAACCAGTGTATCAACAGAATTAAACAGTAATATTAGGGGGCCCACACACACACACACAACATTACTCACACCCCCCGTTGCAGGCCTGTGTCGTGGCTAGAGTGCGGTGAGGCCTTGAAAACTTAAACTGGCCGCTTCACTCAAGTGAGCAAACAAACAAAGAAAAGACGGGACCTTTTGTCAATCGCTATCTGTATGAGCACTTAATAATATGAATCTCCTAGGAAGCAAAGAACGCTTCCAGTGGCTAGGTGCGCTATCCGGATGATGACCGTCGCTCTCTCCCTCGTAGCCAGAAGACTCGCTCGCCTTTCGGATTTCAAAAGCGCTTTTCACAGTCTCCGATGTCCCACGAAGAAACGTCCCACGACAGAACACAAACGGCAGCGAATGTGTGAAACAGTTTCAACACGCACCTCAGTATATGCGATGAAATGTGTGAGCTGTCTCGGTTAAAGGCAGCGATGTCTCGAGTACTCAGTATAACTCCGAGAAACTCAATACTAACCCATACTGTGAGCTAACTGTATCTCATAAGTCCAATAACAAATATACTCAGTTTTAAACAAAATTAAACAAACGAAAATCACATTTCTGTCAGGACCACTATCGTTAAAGATGATTGACAATTAGCATACAGTTTGGATTGGCGGTATGGTTCTGTTCTGGGCAAGAACTCCCTGCGCATCCATGCAGCCTAGCATGGATGAGAGCAGGAAGAGCAGCGATGAATGCTTAGATAGGTGTCGTATTCCCATAGGTTGATGGGGATCAGCTGAGAGTCAGCTGAGCTTGACTAACGTGACCTGCCAGAACTAACGCTACGCTAGATTTTTCCTCACATTTGTCAGTTTTTTCACTCACGACAAACTTCTCACGACTCTCTGACGGACCTCTTCATTACCCAATAGCGTTACATTCACCTATAGGGGAGGCGGGTTTAAGCTATTAAGCATCCAATCACTAAACATAAGATCGTACACACCACGTTTTTCACATGTGCATTTCTAACAAACTTTTACGCAACATTACGTAATGATACATACGTACGTAGAAACGTACCAGTATAGAAAGCTTTTAAAACATCATCCCCGAATTAGAAATGAATGGACAATGCACAAACAAATGATAAACAAACAATAGAATAAAATAAATGTTTTAACCCCATTACTCATAGGATTTTTATATAGGGTTACACTATTAAAGAGCGATTTCTCCATTTTAGATCCCAAAGCAGAAGTAAGAGTTTCTCCACAGAAATGGTTGAGAGAAGGAGATCCTGTTACTCTGATCTGTGAGGTTAACGGCTCCTCTACAGGCTGGACATTCAGCTGGTACACTGTTGTTTCAGGTAAGTTATAATGTGCTTCATTTGTCTAAATTGAATTAAATCGAATTGTACTACTTGTAACTTGGAACCTCTTTCCCCTACTGTTCTGATGAAGTGTTCTGAAGAACAATAGCCAACTATTGTTTGCTATATTACTGCTATTTTCAATGCATCACTCGAAGCAGGGATTTTTCTTCTTAAATTGGCAGGGAGTGATACTGCTGATATGTCCAATTTAGGCCTATTTCGAATCTGTCATTCCTTGCTAAAGTTCTTATGTGTTTGGGGTGTTGGCCAACTTCAAAATCACGTTTCTATAGATGGACAGATTACTAGAAACTTTTCAATCAGGGTTTAGGTCTGGACATGCCACCTTTATTTATATAGCACAATATACAATACAGTACTGTGTCAAAGCAGCTTAACAGTGTTCAACAGGAAAATAGTGTGTCGATAATGCAGGAAGACAATATTTAACAGCCAATGTTTCAATTAAAGTCAGTTCATCATTGATTCAGTGATGTCATTGTCCAACTCAGTTCAGCTCTCTTCCAGTTGTGTCTGTTCAATCAAGTCAACAATATTGCCAGAAATTAAGTGCCCCCAACTAAGCAAGCCAAAGGTGACAGTGGCAAGGAACCAAAACTCCCTCAGTGACAGAAATAGAGAAAAAAAACTTTGGAGAAACCAGGGGGCCAGTTCTACTCTGGCCAGACCAAACCAGCATGATGTATTTTAATTCCAGGCTGCAACACAAGTCAGATTGAGCAGAGGGCTTGTATGGTTCTCGTAGCCTTTGCCGAGGAATTGTGCTGATGGCCAACGAAGTCTTTGCAGAGGATCTGTCTCTGGGGCTCATCTAGTTGTCCTGGTCTCCACTGATATTCAGAGGTGTAGAGGTCATCTCTAGGTGCTGATCCACCATCTGGACTGGATACGGACTGGATCTGGGTGACTGCAGTGACCATCTGATCTGGATACAGACTGGATCTGGGTGGCTACAGTGACCTCGGAATAAGAATGAAACAGACTAATACTAGCGTTGATGCCATTCTTCTCATGATGTAACAAGTACATTGTTCCCGATTCTGGATGACATAATTAATGCAGCCTAACAATCATTTAACAGATTTGAATTATAGAAATGTGATAGAGTGGTATATGTATGTCAGGAAGGGACTTTAATCTAGATTTAAACTGATTGTGCTGGGTGCTAGATAGGAGAAGGATCTGCCACCTGCAGCTGATTTTGATATTCTAGGTATTATCAAATAGACTATATAAGACTCTAATGTGATAAGAGCATGCTCAAGTACTGAGGAGCTAAACCATTCAGGGCTTTGTAAGTAATTAGCAGGGCAAACCTGTGCTGACCAGCTGGCCCCCATCTTCACACAGATCTTTAACAGATCACTGGAGCTGTGCAAAATCCCCTCATGCTTCAAATGCTCCACCATCATCCCCGTCCCAAAGAAACCCAAAATTACTGGACTTAATGACTACAGACCTGTGGCTCTAACGTCTGTGGCCATGAAATCATTTGAAAGATTGGTTTTGGCTTATCTGAAGGACATCACTGGACCCTTACTTGACCCCCTGCAGTTTGCCTACCGAGCAAACAAGTCTGTGGATGATACAGTCAACATGGGACTGCATTACATTCTGCAACATCTAGACAGGGACTTATGTGAGGATCCTGTTTGTGGACTTCAGCTCGGCTTTCAACACCATCATCCCAAACCTCCTCCTG